TGCACAAAATACCGCATCGCAATGAAGCAATATGTAGGCATGAGCTCACATGCAATTGGGAAAGATCCTCGAGCGTTAAGCGATGCAGCATGCGCCCATCTACCTTTGCTTGCAAAAAGTAATCCTTGTACTGAGGCAAACCAATGTCATCCAACCAGCGCAGCACCCAGCCCACATCCAATTTCGCAGCCTTTATTGTCAGCTCATCAAACTCCCTCTTTGTTATGTCATCAATGGCCAACAAGATTTTCTTCCGATGCAGAACGGATTTCAAATTAAGTTCACGTTCGATATCGACAGGTGATGCGGTGAAGAAACAAACCGATGGATCATTCTTCAGCCATTTTCTGGTAACAGAACAATCATGGAAAACGGAAAGTTAAGCTCAATGTTGTTTTTAGGGAAATTTTAATAATCTATCGATCTATTCTTCAGAGATATTAATAGTTAATGCCTAAAGATATAAAATTGGTGACTTCTTCAGCTCAATTTCAAAGTTAATTCAATTTTTTTAATTATATAATATATAATACCTGGCGATTATTATAATTATCAACGATGATGTATACGATCCACACTCACCTACAATTGTCCTGGTAACATCCAAGACCCATGTGCGCCAACCAGTTGCAAACTTCCTGGGCGTTCCAGCTGCTGTAATGTTTTTCAGCATCGGTGAACAATGGAGTCTGGGCACTCCATTCAATGCGGCCGCCTGCAGTTGCACGCGAGCCACCTCGACGGAATTCATCTGGCTCGGCCTGTTCCAAAGCAGTCAGTTCACAGTTGCTGCTATTACTACGCCGCAATTTGCCTAATATGCTACGCAATCCGCGCGCGGAACGCTCGCGCAACTTTGGCGAGGGTGTGGATTGTGTTTGGGATCGAAAACTTGAATACATAGACATTGCGTCATCAGTTGGGCTAACACTATCGTTCAACAAACTGTCGTCAATAAGAATTTGTTCGTTAGAGGCAAACGCCACATTTCGTTGTTTCCCACTGCTGTTGGCATTCACATCAAGGGTTTGGGTATTGTTATCCTTGGTGCTTGACTGCAAGCGCTGCACCTGCTTTGTGGCACCACCATGTGATCGTGGCAAGCTGTGAAATTGTGGCTTAATCTGATGCCGCAAGGCTGTTGGCGGAGTTTTGGGAGCTAAACGACCATCTGGCGTGGTCTTCTGGTTTAGATTACCCATGCTGCCATAGGGCATATTGCAATTTGTGGCATTCAGTTCGTTTTCGCACTCAAGTGCCGTACGATGCAGTTTCAACTCGCTTAAAGCACTCATTAATTCAAGTTGCTGTGTTTCTAAAGCCGATTGTGAAATCACTTGGCGCTGCAGTTGCTCTTCTTTGCTGCAAAGCTGCTGCGATTTCTCCGTTAGAAGCCCTTCCAATTCAATGATTCTGTCCGCTTGCTCAGACACGCGTTCCGCCAGCATTTGGTATTGTAGAGCCAATCCTTCCTTGTCGCGCTGCAATCTACGCATTCGTTCATCTGAATCTTGGCGCGGTATATGCGTTTCCAGCCAATCGCTTATGATTGCTGCAGTAACTGGATCTGGAGCTGGCGCTGCTAAACCAACCTACAAAAGCGATACTAACTCACTTACAGCTTTTATTATTCAAATAGCTTTTGACTCACCTGTTGCAGTGCCAAAGCCAGGGTCTTAGCTGTTGATAAGACATTGGTTGCCGAAATTAAATTACGCTCACAGAAACTTGTCAAAGAAGCCGTAGTTGCAGTTCCTGGCTGAGTTTGCGACTGACTACTGACTGCTGCAGTCGCCGAATTGGATATTATGCCATCCATCTGTTGCAATGCTGCCTCAAGCATTTTACTCGCCTCTGTTGCTGTCGCTGTCGTCATGATACATACAATTATTTGTGCAAAGAGCTTTGACAGTAATCCGTACGCGGTGATCGATGTGCATATAAGTTTATTTCCTGTGTTCGTGCATTGTTACATAAGCACCGTCAATTGGAATATGACATTTCGGAAGTTTGTAGTCTCTATTATGTATTAATAATAGTAATAATACCACAAAAAAAAAAAACTAAAACAGAAAAAGCAACAAATTGCTATTGTCTTGCTATTGGAGGCACATGCTCATAGTAAAATTGGTCCTATCGATATGCTGAGCTATCGATAGTCGTGGCCAGGCGTGACGGATAAAGAAATAAGCAACGCTTCTTCCATTTAAATGAAAATAGTTTGTATATTATTTATGAATTTATCCTTTTATTAAGAAATACTCGTAATTCAATAATTATTTAAGTCATTACTCGCATGGAAGTTAAGAATTGACAATACTTACATGGTAGTCTTTTTTTTTTTTTTTGTGGCATCAGCTTACAATTTCATGATTGTAGTATATTTTTTGCAGTTCGATATATATCAATATATCGTAACGGTGCCATCCAGGGTCACATATCTAGTTCTAACAAGAGCCAAAACAAATCTAAAAATATTTATTTGATAGAACTAGCAGTAATGAATCGTTTTGTATATGAAGAGGCTCGTTTAAAAGAAAACGAGTCGTTCGTAAGTCGCGATCGCAACGTAAAAATCTATGATGGAGACCAAAAGGTAGATCACATCATCTAGTAAATGTTGCATTTACTTTATTTGGCTACGGCTGCGCCTCTTTTCAGACGGAATTTGAAGATGGGGAAGTGGTGCTTACGACTCATAGATTATTTTGGGGCCGTCCTGGAGAAATCGCTCGCGCAGCGATAACTCTTTGCCTGCCACTTAGCTTTGTTATTTCTCTCAGTGAGGAAACAACAGCCTCCAATTTTTTTGGACGCAAAACACGGATAATACTGCACTTGCATCCGCCCAGCATAAATAAACCTCCTGGCCCAATGGACACAAGTCGGGCTACCCACATAAAACTCTCAGGTAAAAATGGACTAAGTGTGGAGTTCCACACCGCGCTGCGAGAGACTTTAAATGCGCGGGTCTGGGCCATCGCGTTAACGAGTGAGACCATTGTGAAAGGAGCAGAGTCGAAGTTAAGCGTGGGCGATAAATTATCTAGAATTCAAAAACGCACGGGAATAGGTGGAATAGAGCGGCACCTAGAAGCGAAAGCCAAGGAAACGGACGAGAACATAGCCCTTGCATTCCAGGATCTAAGTGTTCTTATGGCTATGGCAAAGGATATGGTGGGCTTATCCAAAAATATAAGCAGCAAAATACGTGAGCAAAGAGGTGAAATATCAGAGGATGAAACAGTTCGATTCAAATCCTATCTGCTCAGCTTGGGCATAGATGATCCTGTGACACGCGACAATTTTACCAGCAATACGGCGTACTTTAATAGTCTGGCTCAGCAAATATGCGAAATGCTACTCGATCCAATCGAAGTGAGTGTAACTCACAATTTATTCGAGTCTTGGTTTACTGAATGTTGTATATGTTTTTGGTAGGAACATGGAGGCATGATGTCCTTGGCTGACGTATATTGTCGTGTGAATCGCGCTCGTGGTCTGGAACTTCTTTCACCCGAGGACTTGCTGCATGCATGCGAACGCCTTAGTGGTCCCATTAAGCTACGTCGATTCCCCAGTGGCGCCATGGTTCTACAGCTCGAATCTCATGATGATGAGCTTATTTCTATTGACACATTAGAAAAAGTGCGCTCTGCGGAATCCTTGGCAGTGGAGGAGCTAGCTAAGCAGCTGAACATATCGCTATTGTTGGCTAAGGAGCGACTGCTGGTGGCAGAGAGACTGGGGAAAGTTTGTCGGGATGAGTCCGTGGAGGGGCTGCGCTTCTATCCCAATCGACTGCTTGCTTGTGATAATGACTATATATGATAATAATAATTCAAAGACTACGCGAGTTCATATGTCAAATTAAAAAGTCCAGATAAACACAAAGTTTGTACATTCACACAACAAGACTGTTTTATATTTGATTTATCAGAAGTCTTTCTTAGATGTATTGTTTACTATCCACAATTGAGAATAGCTTTTGTCTGCGATTAGGTTCAGTTCTCCCGAAAGTCTTTAAACGATATTCGTTTTATTTTTACGTTAAATGAAAAGATTCGACGTCAGGTAATTAGATAAGCAGTTATTGAGTTGAAATTACATTTATGTTATTAGATATATTTAATAGCTTATGATGAATTTTTAGATTGCTCTTGTACTACTTTAACTCTTTTAATTATTACTTAAATTTTTCTCTGAAGACACGGACTAATGCGCGTTTTGGGCTTTCACTACCTGTTTCATTGTAACATTTAAAATTTTGTAGGTAGTACCATGTTTGCATTCTTAAATCACATTTATTATAACATTGAGTAAATTATTTTTGAGTGTATGTGTTTATTAATGGGTAACTCTGGTTTTTGTTTTTGTTTTCAATTATTTGTAGAGTAATTTGTATTTTATAGGCATTTTTGTTTTTGTGTTTGTTGTACAGAAAAGCATACTATGCCAGACATTTACAATTACAGCAAGAGATAAAACAATAGTAAACATAACTAATTAAATAAATAATTCCATACTACAAAACCAATTCCTTAATATATAGCGACAATTTATCAGATCCGAGCTACTGCTAGTTACTTATCTGTCTTCATATACATATACGATTGTACGCAAATGTCGCTTTCTCCGATCGGATAATATTACTCTATTATAAATACATTTTGTTTAATTACGATTTGCTTGACTTCTGTTTTTCGTTTGTTGATCTTGTCGTTAATTGTGAGTTGCAGTTGGAAGTACGAGTACTAATTAGTTTTTTTTTTTTTTTTTTTTTTTTTTTTTTAGTTTTTAGTTCTTGTTTTTTTTTTTTCAATACAAACTAAATATGATTTATTTTAATAAAATTAGGTTAAGCATTTAAATAATTAGCAATAATAATAATTACAATAATATAATTAATAATAGTACAATATGCATAAGTATATTTATAACATATTTTATATGAACCGCTACAGCTGTTCATATCTTCTTTTTTTCGTAACTAATTCAAATCGTAATAGTTAGCCATATATTATTCTGTGTGTTTACAATCAATTTTACATTTTATATTGTGTTTTTCTTACTATTGCTTTTGTTTTGTTTTCATTTGCATTTGCATTTGCATTTCGTGGGGAGGAGCCGTTCTCGCATTACTGCTTATGCTTAAAGTTACCACGACGCTTACGTAGTTAGTCTTAGAGTGTAACAAATTGGAGTTGGAGAGCCAAATTAATAGACATTGTTGAAATGGCTTTTGGAGCACGTATTGAATATGAAACAATTAATATGTACAATTATATATGTATAGATACATACATATATGTATATCCGTATGAGCTATACACTTCATTCGTTTTGTGGTTAAGCTGAAATTTCTGCAAACGGCACACAAAAACGAAACGCAGTTACCATCGCCCTCCCCTTGATTACGAGCATCACCTTTATGCACAGTTGCAATCCCAGTCCACTCCCAGACTGTTGGTTTGATTTGATCTCATGTGGCGTGCGCAGCTTACACACAGTTATACACACAAAAATGTATACCGATATATGGGTAACTATAAAATATGTGACGCGTAGCCTTATTCCTTGTCTCCTCTCCTGAACCCAGAATAGAAATAACTGGTACGTCCGCATTAATTGATTTCTCCAGTACCAAGTTTGGTGTCTACTTGGTGGCATCGGTGGTGGACCGCCGTCGATTGACGGCTGCCTGTTGCTGCTGCTGCTTGGCCGCTGCCAGAGCTGTTAGGGTGCGCTGACTCATTACGCTGGCATTTGTGGGCGCCGACCGACCAGTAATTTGTATGTGCTGTAGCTGTTGATGTTGCACTTGACTGGGACTAGGCAGAGTCTGGGAAGTTGCGGTGACAGTGCTCTGGTTGAGTATTCGATGCTGCTGCTGATGTGCTTGCTGCGTCGGCGTTTTCACAGTTTTCAATTGCATTTTCTGCGCAGACATCACAATCGGTGCGGCACCTATGCTCGTGCTATTCGTAACGGCATTGCCTACAAAGAAAAAGAATTCGGGTTGGGATATTCATCTACTTGAACAATTGCTTTACAGACGACTTACTGTTGACAGCCGTTGTTGCAATCTTTAGCGTCGAACTACCAATCTGACGCTGTGCGGTGAGCAGCTGTCGACTGCTAGCTAGTTGTTTGGTGCCCACGACCTGGACGTTGCGCGCTCTCGGTTGTATAGCTCCAGTTGCTGCTGTCGCTACAACACCTACACCACCACCACTTGAGGTACGTATTGTTTGAGGATTTAGTTTCTGTACTCCGGCACCGACTAGTTGAGCTGTAAGCAGAAAGCAGAACGGGCGTGCGGGGATATTTTGTTGTTGTTGTTGTTGTTTAGGTTACAATGAATCTGTTGGTCAGAGACGATAACTAACCGCCCCCAGAGGCCAGGGAAAGGGCCAGAGTTAGCTGGTGCAAGTGTTAAACTGATGGCGGTGGTTAAACACAAAACACATAAACAGTTTAGTTGCATGAGTATCGGATCGAGTTGTTAAGAGGTTTATGTGTGAACAAGAAACGAAACGAAAATAAACGAAACGAAACGAAACAAAATAGAAAGTAGAAACAGGAATAGAAACAGAAAAGAACAAAATTAAGCATGTTCGTTCAATAAATAAATATATCAATTATATATCAAAAGAAAGCTTATTGTATAATGTTCGAGGATCAATTACAATTATAACACGTAGACAAGCAAGCTGCTCCGCGAATCATCATCTAATTAGGGAGAGAGATCCTAAAGCAATTCTTATGTGCTGCTGCCAGTGGCACCACTTACCAATGGGAAGCGTGAGCATAGCAGTAGTAGCTCCTGTTCCACTTCCATTGCCGCCTCCACTCGCTCCTCCACTGCTAGCTGCATTGTTTGTGATGACTACCGTTTGGGTGCCACCCACCGATGAGGGCAGACTGACGATGGTTCCTGTCGGCGGGGCATGCTGCGGCTGCTGAGGCGAAGATTGCGTCGTCTGCAACGTAATCGAGTGCGACAATTGCTGCTGCGTCGACACAGGCACCGAGACCAACACACTGCGCTGTTGAGTCTGGGCAGGCGCCAATGATCCACTCGTTGTGCCTCCACATGTCGTGCTTTGCTGTTGCGACTGTTGCTGTTGCACCTGCACAGGTGTCTGCAGACTGTTGCCGGAAAACTGCAGTGAAATGGGCTGCGTAAAGCCTGGAATCTGGACCTGAACATTCTGAAGACCTGCAAAGTTCGCCATGGCACCCTGCAGCTGGGACAGATTGATGCCCTGCAGATTCAACGTCGCCGTCGTCTGCTGTTGCTGCTGGGGAGACGCCGACGGCTGGGGATGTGGACTCGACATTGGCGAGTGTATGGATGATGTGGCGGGCGAATGCACAAGTGTCTTGGTGATGAATTGCTGCTGTTGTTGGGTCGACTGTACCGGTGATGGTTGCTGTGGCGACATGTGCGGCATGGCCACCGCTGACACGGCTGACACATTTGATGTCACGTTGCTGAGTCTTTCAAGCAGGACCTGATTCGGATGCGTTTGCGACGACTGCGAATGATCCGAGCCAGACGGCGAGGGCGTGGCAGCATTTGTGAGTAATGCATTCAGAGCACCGCTGCCTCCACTTGATGCAGACGATAAGTTCGTGGGCACGGCAAAGCCACTCGCATTTGAGGCATTGGAGTCGCTGCCAGGTGAGGGTGCTGCCATGCCCACCACAATCGCATTTGGTGGCGCAGTGGTGCTATCCCTTCGCAACGAGCTCAGAATGCGCTGCTGCTGCTGTTGGCCGGTATTGAGTATTTTGAGGCTGCCACACACGCCTCCTGTGCTGACAGTGTAAGCGCCATACCCAGTGGGAGGATTCGTCATCACTGCCGGAGGCGATGCCAGTTGCGACGCAAGTGCAGACATGGACACACGCACCGACTGACTGCCATCGGCAGCCTGCTGCGCACCTTGACCTTGAGCCTGGTTCAGATTGACGGCTATAAGATTACCAGCTGAGTTAGTACGAAACGTTGTTCCACTACTTGCGCCAACGATGTTAATTTTACGGTTCGAATTCAGAAGACTCTGCAAAACCTCGCTCGACGGCTGCTTGCGTTGAGCATTTACCAGTGTCGGCGTTCCGCGCGTCGTCTGCACATAGGTTGCTGTTGTCGCATCCACATTGGCGGGAACCGATTGTTGTTGCTGCTGCTGCTGTTGTTGTTGTTGCTGCTGCTGCTGCTGATGCTGCACCAACGTCAACGTTTGCTGCTGACCCGTCGACGACGTAGTGAACGTGCCACTAGCGACTGGCGTGCTGGTCATGGCCGCTGGGGCGCTATTCAACAAATTTAGTATAGAGGCATTGCCCGAGTTCTTTAAAGTTGTTGCAGGACTGCCACTGCTGTTGCTGCTAATGTTGATGATAGACGTCGAGTTGGCGTTGGAGGTGGGCGTGCCGCTCGCTAATGGTTACAAATTGACCAAAATATACATATATATATTATCATGTGTAATAACGTGTTGTATTGCAACTAAATGACTCACAGTGCTGCTGCTGTTCTTGTTGTTGATGGTGTTGCTGTTGCTGTTGCTGTTGCTGGTATTGGTTAGCAGAGTTCATGATGCTAGTGACTATGGCATTTATCGCAGCCGTGCTGTTATTATTGTTGCTACTGTTGTTGTTGATTGTATTGTTGTTTGTGGCAGTTATTTGTTGTTGCTGTTGCTGCTGCTGTTGTTGTTGTTTCTGTAGCAGTTGATGTGTTGTAACAATCGACGACCCTTTTAGCTGCGATTGCTAAAATACAGAAAATAATTAATTAATTATTGGACTTAAACTATAAATGTTTTAGGAAATTAAATGATGAATGTTCTTGAATGAATAATAGTTCGGAGATTAAAGTGCTGACTATATTTACTATGGCGGATAATCTGCAAAAGTATTCATGTTGCGTATCGCAAAGCGCTTTTCAAATCGAATACTGGCTGAAGCAATGTTGTCCAATCTCTATTTCCTATATACTTACGAGGATTGGCACGTTGGAGTTGAGCTGGGCGCGTAATGCGGAGTTGGCACCTATTGCCGTGTTCAGCTGGCCTGCCGTCGCCTTTTGGTGTTGTATATTAGCGGGATGTATAGTGATGCCTGAGTGTTGCATTGTGGTATTTAACTGCTGCTGCTGCTGTTGCTGCTGTTGTTGTTGTTGTTGTTGTTGTTGTTGCGGCTGTTGTTGCAGCAGCACCAGTGATCCGTTGCCCAGACTCACTTGATGTGTAGTACTGGCGGATGCATTGCCGCTGGCTGTAAGAAGTTGTATATGCGGGTGTTGTTGTTGCTGCTGCTGTTGCGTTGGCTGCTGTAAAATGCTGTTGTTGCCACTGCCGAGTTGAGGCTGTTGCTGATGGACTTGCAGTGTGCCATCTGCATTGAATTGAGTAGTGGCAACCGCCTGCTGTTGCTGCCGAAACGTTTGTTGCAGACCCGCCACCTTAGTAACGATTGCTGGTTGCCGAGACAGAGTGACGTTTGGATGTGTTTGCGCGACATGATGCACTGTAGCGGGTAGCTGTTGTGGCTGTTGACTAAACTGTCGTTGTTGCTGCTGTTGTTGTTGCTGCTGATGTTGTTGCTGTTGTTGTTGCTGCTGCTGCTGTTGCTGTTGTTGTTGCTGCTGCTGCTGCTGCAACAACAATCGTTGTTCATTTGTAAGTCCAGTGTGGGTAACAATTGGCACATGTCCGGGTATAAGGTGCGTGATTTTAACAGCCTTGCGTCCCTCTTCAGTAAATATTTCCCGGAATTGCTGAATATATCGATTCGCATGGACACGGGTGCCAAGTGCGAATCGACACGATTCTCCATTACGTTCGCCCTCGCGATAATCGCGGTCCACGTACAGCTCGCCAAGATATTCTGCATCGGAGGGGCGTTGGAAAATTGAGAGTTTGATGTGATATAGAGCTCGCCGGCCCTCGCTCGCTTCGCGTTCCGTCTCCAGCACATATTCCTCAATGAGCTGCGGCTGAAAGTTGTGTCGGCAATTCGTCTGGCAGCCTTCCTTGCAAGCATCGCTGAACTCGTTCAGTGGCTCGAAAGTTTTCGCGTACTTCTCCACACTTATTACGTTTTCGGGCACCTTCAGCTTGACCGGGTAATCCAGGGTAGGTGGTCTTATGGGTCTGATGACTTCGTGTGGTCGCCGTGGCACCTTTGAGGTGAATGAAGAGAGCATGGCACCCACCAACGGGTTGTTGCTGGGCGCTGTCGCGGGGGTTGCATTCGCTGTGCTGTTGCTGGAGGTACGCGGACGCTGACGCAGTCGTGTTAGATAGTCACAGAGCTCGAGTCCTTGGTGATGCGTGAACTGATCTAGCTTGCGCTTGCGATTGATGGCCACCTGGGTGAACTTTTTCATTTGGCGGCGCATTTCGTGCGAGTTGAAGCGTTGACGCTCGTGCTGTGCATTAATGGACTGGCGACCTATACTGGGGTCTGGCTCCAGACACAGTGGCTCCGCCGTGGCCAGCACCAGTTGGCTTTCGATCGTTAGCCGGTCCTCTGGCGTTGAGCCGGCCCAGCCCAACGAACTTCCCAGTTGCTGCACGTCCGCGAACAGGGTCGCATTGCTGGGCCGCAGCAGGATGTGCTTCATATCACAGATATTTGTTGAGGTGGCAAATGTCTGGCGGAAATCGCGTATTTGCGCAATTACACAGCCAGCATAGAAGACGCTGGGCTTGGCATACACCCGCGACCCGTCGCTTCCATCTTGTGGGGAGCTCAGGGTGACTGTTTCGGCGCTCAGCAGATCCATGAGAAATTCGGGCAGGAGTTCGCGATCGATGCACTGCAGGAGCAAATCGTTTTCATAGGGCCAACGCAGTACTTCAACCAAGCCATAGCCAGATGATATAGGCGCTGATGCTGCGTCTCCAGGTGATGCATCGGTTTCGTTCAGTCTCGACTTCATCCTGAAAAGATTATTGCTAGCGTCGCTATCGGCGTGAGCTTTGTTACGACTAGCAGTGCTAGCCGAGTTTTCGATGGTGTGGTTTCCGTGGATGTGAGCGGGATCCGTGACGATCCATTCGTTTGTAAGCGGATTAAGCATTATTTGTTCATCGTAGTGGAGTGCCAGGGAGTAGCCCTTGTTACCAGGGTACAAGTTGACGACAATGGTGTTTAATCGCTCGCACTCAACAAGTCGATCCAGAATGAATGAACGACTTCGCTGCTTCAGCTGCACATGATAAATAACAATAATAAATTAATGGAATGGTGAATCAGTTGGTTACAATCTTACCCCAGTTTCCGCGAAATGGTTTAAATCGTTACTTAACAATTGCAGATATAGCTCCTTGATTTTGTCGTGGATATTAAAGAACTTCGTCGTCGATTCTCGTTTGTTGTTCACTGAGTTGGATAAGGTGCTACTGGCATTGTTGTTAGTATTGGTATTGGAGCCAGCTCCGGCGCCAGCACGCGGTGATGCAGACGTCGGAGCTGTGTTGCGACTAGAGTAACTACACTCCTTGCTATTGTTGTTGTTGCTACTGCTCCCTTTAGACCGTTTGCTAGGCGACGATGTGGGAGACGACAGAACATTTTGGTGGTTGTGCGACTGAGGCTGATGGATTTGCAGGTGATGATGGTGCTGTTGATTGTGACTGCTTGTAATGCCGGACGAAGCACTTGAAATGCTTTGGGGGAGCCGTCTATCAACCTTCTTAGTGCTGCTGTAAGATTGCTGTTGCTGCTGGTGCGGCTGTGGCTGCTGTTGTAGGTGCTGAAAAATATGTGACGATGTGGCGGAGGTGTTATTGCTATTTAAGCTGGAATTGACACCCGGTGGCGTGGACAGCAGCAGGTCAGGAACTACTGGTGAAGGCGATGTGATCGAGTTCAAATTGGACAGCGTCGTTGTTGATGAAGAGCATGATGAAGGGGACGGCGCTATCGCAATCCCAGAACAAGGCAGCCCGGCAGATGTTGCAGATGAAGCGGGTGGCTGCTCCGAGAGTATGACAATGTTGCCACTAGCAGGCAGCTCAGTAGGCGATTCGTCGTCATCGAATATGCAGATTGGCGGTTGCGCAGGTATTTGAGGTATCGCCTGTAATAAAGATCGTACGCTGACGGGGACCGGAGCAGCTGGTACTTGTTGTGGTTGTGGTTGCTGCTGCTGCTGTTGCTGGCTATTGTTGATGGCAAGCGTGGGTGAGCATGTGGACTGCAACACCGTGTGCAGCTGATGGTATGACTGCGGCTGATTCTGTGGCTGTGGTGAGCCTTGTGAGCCCTGCGACGCTTGGTAAACAAATTGCTGTTGAACAGCAGAGCCAACGGCATGCGGCAAGCCCTGTGAGCTCGCATTCAGTGGATTATCGCCTTTTAGCTTCTTAAGCGTGTCATTTATGATAAACTATTATAAACAGAAATTGACACATTATATTTGATAATTCGAAACTACAAGCGATCCCTAATACTCACATCTGCTTCTTGGCATGAGGAGTCCAAGCTTTGCATTGTGCCAGTGAGGAGTGCAAGTCGTTGTTGCAGTCCCAGTCCCAGTCCCAGTATTAGTTCCAGTTCCAGTAGCACAGCCGAGTTTCAATTCAATTACCAGCGACGACGACATTCAAATCAAGGAGCGAAAACTGTACGAGAACAGTAGTTAGGCGCCTCCCCAGGACCAGTTCAGTTGTTTTCATCGCTCCTCCTTGCGCTCGCAGGTGTCTGCCAGTCGAGTAACAACTACTCAACAACAACAACAACTCGTTATTTTCTATTTCGATTCCTTTTTCAATGCAATTTCATTTGCGAGGCACGCATTGCCTTCGAAATTGCGCCCTTTTTCACAGTAGTCTTTGAATATTGTTATTGTTAAGTTTTAATACGCTTTTCCTTCCCCCAAATGTAATTTCTTCACTCTTTTTCTGTGGCTGCTGCTTTGCGTGACATTTTCTCTTCGTCTTCGTCCCTCTTTTGCCTTAGGTCTTTTTGCCTTTTTACACACACACAACACACAAACTCCAGGCCTTAAACGTAATGTACGCACACGTTATTTACTTAAGCTCTTCGATAAGTGACTTAATTTTAATGTTTTTCATTTGTTTAATGTTTTTTTTATGTTTTATGCAGAAAGTTTAGTTTTGCAATGGTACGTTCTCGCCGAATACGCGTACACACTGGCAGCCAATAGTTGAGTTATCGATATCGATAATTGTACAATTTATGCTTAGAATAATGATCAAAATTTTGAATTAAATTTTCAAAATGCCGACTCTACTCAGATTATTCAAATTCTATTTTACATATAAATTATAATCATGCAATAATAAAAACAGCTGCAATACTTAATGATTATGAATCTTGCAGCATAATTCTTATATTTTTATTTTTTAACTGAGCAACACTGGTAAGCGATTAATGTATTCGATAGTTGAGTAGGTCGTTATGTACACACCAGTGCTGCCCATAAGTAGGAAATGACAAACAAAATTAGAAAGCATGCAATCATTCCCGCGCATTGCAAATTTGAAAAACTAAACTAAAAACAATATAAAACTTGAGAAATACTTTATTTTATTTTTTATTATAGGTAACTTAAACAATAAATAGAGTGCTTTTAGAGAGTACTGTGTATTTGTCACTCAACATTTTGTTTTTTTTTTAAGTTTTATAGGATTCATTTGGATAAATATAAACTTACAATAACTTCATAATTTAGAATTATGAAATAAACATACGTAAATAGTATGAAAATATTTATGCACAAATATTAATACATATTAAGGATTAGTCTATTTATGCAACTATGTATGCATTAAGAATACCAATTTTGTCATATGTACGTATACGCTTTTCCATATATATATATAAATGTATATATAATAAAATCATAATAAGAAACTTGCAATAATACACTCGCATTTGAAAAATTTTCACATCTTCGTCATGAGATCTTTAAAAATCAATTGTGTAGTTTAAAGTTAGAACAGCATTTGATATGCTTTCACTCCTTGTGGGCCTGCAACTTTTTCCAAGTGTCGCCCAGTGCCTTGGCAAAGTGATCGTCCACAGAGGCCTCAGTCTTGGTGAATATCGAAATGTTTGTGGATGAGGTAGGAGAAGCGGGTGGCGTTTGTGTCGACGATGCAGCGGCTAGTCCCGGTTCGGCTTTCACACGTATTATAGCTGGCATTGTGGGCGTCGACGCCATTACGCTGGCATACGCTGGTGGGGGTGTATTACATCTGGGTGGAGTATGATGAGGCGTGTCTAAAGCTTTTTCTCTCTTGGTTGCCGGCGCATCTAATATTTGACTGGCGCCAGCCAGTGGTGGCGGTGAGCATGACAAAGCGGAAGCACTTCGAGCGGGTGGCGGCGACAGGGACAATGGCTCTTTCTGGGGCGGCGGCAACTCATGCTGCGGCGATATCGGTGCCGGCTGCAACGTGGGTGAGTGCACGATGGGCAGGCCAAGCTTAGACAGGGGCAGTGGCAGCGGTAATTGCGACTGATGTTCGTATGTTATTGCTGTTGGTTGTTGCCGATAGGCTTGTGGCGAGATCTGCTGCATTGGTGTTCCGTTCCCAGCCGCCGACTGCAACTGAGTCAGCGCCTGTGCTGGTTGTGGCTGCTGCTGCGACAGCGGCTGTGGCGACGGCGTGGGTGAGCTGGATGCTGGCGATTTCAACAGGGCTGCATAGCCAGGTCCCAAGGAACGCCGGAAATGCTCGTCGATGTCACAAATTGGATCGGACTCTGCAAACAAATAAGATGAAATGAACATTGCATATATGGAATCATAGCAGAATCAGAAAAGTTGTCAACCTACCCGTACTGCGATGGTCATGCTCGTGGCTAGAGTGCGAGTGATGGTGGTGGTGCTGGCTTTGGTGCGAATGCTTCGGCAGCTCCCGTTTGGGCGGTGCTTGGGTAATAACGCTCGGCCGGCTGGCGACGTAACAGTGGCTGTTCGCTCCACCAGCCAATGGCTCGCGGTACGGTGGAGGCGGTGAAGCGCGTTGATGCTTCACAGTGTTCGACGTCACGGTCATATCAATGGGGCTATCCATGTCAGGTTCCCTCTCCCGTTCCCTTTCACTGTTTGAATCGTGAACTTGATATTCGGCGGCAGCGGCTCGTTGGCGGCGTTCGCGACGCCACTTGTTGGTTGGAAGCTCTTTTGAAGTCAGTCGTGTTTCTGTAATGGATAAGACACAGGGCTTGGAATAATCTTCATGCATAAGCAATTGTCTTTCATATGATTATTAGCTTAGGGTTTTTTATTAGAAACATTCATTTTAGATCATTTTACTGAGCAATACTCTGTGTCGCCAGAGATCTTGCACGCTTCCTTTGCTTTCTTTATTTGCGGCCTGTCGGACCTCTGCCTCGCCGTCTCGAATTTTGATCATGATGTGGGTGTAATGAATCACATGGAGTTGAGTGATTCTGCCGGCTTCGCAGTCACTTTCAAGTTTGTTGCTTAAGTCTTTCATTTTTTCGGGTTTTTCAATGAGTTTCCGCTCAAAAGCCAAACAGAGCTTTCGAGTGCCAATTCAGCTTATGCGACGGCAACGGTAAGACTCGGACTCAGACTCAATTTTAGACCCACTCAAGTGAGCACAACAAAAATTATGCAAAATAAAAAAATTTAAAAAAAATAAAATAAAATAAAAGAAATAAATAAATGAAAAATAAAAATAAAATACGAAAAACTTCAACAACAACCACAATAACAAATACAACACAAAACAAAAATACAAAATCGAAGCTCCGAGCCACAAAAGTTGGTTAACAAAACTAGTTTTTCTACGACCACGGTGAATGTGCCAGTGTATGCGACTGTAAAGCGTTTACACTGAATACGACGCTGGGCCTCCTCGTCTGGACAAACATGGCTGGCATCCCAAATAGATATTGTTCGAGTTTATTGCGTGGGAAGGCGGTGCGTGGGCATCGAGCAGATTGGCACAACTACCGAAAACCAGATACCCTCACCTCACCACATGTACGCCAACTGGCATACAATGCAATTTCTGTTCCTGATTTGCTGGCCACTTCTCAGGAAGCGAGGGCAAGAGAAAAGTCAAAGCTTACGTACAGCAGGCGACTCAAAACCGCGTCTTCCATCCCAAAATAAAAGGGGCAGGCAAACCCGTCAAACGACTTCTGCACATTTCGAGCAGAGGTGCCTGCCTCGCTCTCCCCTCTCGACCAAGGCATCGTCGAGCGCATGAATGAATGTATGAATGAAGGAGCTTGTTGCGTTGGTGGAGGCGGCTGTAGCTGTAGCCCTGGACATGGCTGTGGATGCGGATTCGGTTCTGACTGTTGCCGTTGCCGTTGGCGTTGCCGTTGCTGTGCTGCTGCTGTGGCGGAACCAGTTGCTGTGGTCCTTTTTTTGGCAACGTCACCGCTGCCGCTGAAAGCTATTATTATTTTCTGTGCCTGCGTCACTAAAGGTGCCACAAACTGGTTGCTCTTCAGAGCTTTGTGGAGTGGACCGAAAGCAAAACATACAACAACAAAGTCAGACGGACAAGAATAACAAAAGCAACAACAAAAGCAGCGAGACTTGCTTCTGGTTGCAGCGGAAGATGATGGGGATGATGATAATAATAAAGAAACATTCAAATTTTATTGCACATTTCCGGTCGTCGCTCAAAGACAACTTTGTCCGGTTTTTACTGTGGGGACTCATCATTGATGGGTCGGGTCTGTTGTTTCTTTTAGTATTCTGTGTGCAGCAGTGTTTGTTGTTGCATGTTGCATTTACAAACACGATGTCGTTGTTGTTGTTTCTCTGTTTCCTTGCCAGTTCGTATTGCTGTTTGTGCTGAATCAAACACACTACACAGCAGCAAAACAAATGCATCCACCCAAGCCAATTGGGCGAAAGAAAAGTGCCCCATACACAATGAGACTCTCCTGACTCGACTTCATCACCCAAACAACCCGCACGCAGAGCACATCCTATCAAGAATTGCAACCAGTCGAAAACTCGCTGTGGTCTACTCTCGCACTGCGAACAGCAAATAGAAAAATAACATTTGTGGCTTATGCAAACACGTTTTAGTAATTGTTGTTGCTGTATTTGTTGTTCTCGTTGTTGTTGTTGTTTTTGTGACTGTTGTTGCCGTCGCCGTCGCCGTCGCAGTCGCTGTCGGTGTCGGTGTCGTCGTCGCAGGCGTTTCTTATTATTTTTATTATTTTTTTGCCGGCTTGTGAGTCATGCTCGTGCCCGACTTGATTGCAAATCTGGTTTTAATATGTCAACAAATTAAAAAAAAAAAAAAAAAAAAGAAAGAACAACTATCTTTCGCTCGCCGAAGATCAAACACTCTTGTGTTCTTAAGCAGCTTAAAAGTATCTTGCTCAAATGACACGCATTTCAAATTAAATATAAATTTAGTTACACATATGTATATATACTTATCCTATCTATTATTTTACCTATTGTACGTCACAAAACTCATTATAGTTCTTTAATAACAAGATTGGTAAAGAGTGAGCGTATATTGGTTGTGCAATATCCCTTTTACTCTCCGTCCGGCACTCCATAAGATTATAAAGCATTTCGCCGCTTTTTAATTTAGATATTTAAAATTCTAAACGTGTTCTCATTAGTGCCGTCAATTTTTAAAATATTATAATCTTGTACATCATATATAAGACACTATGATCGCTTAAATATGAAATGGATACTCTCGTAGGAAATTGCCTAAGCTAATATATTGATATAAATTTGTATATATTCTTACACCCTTTTCGGTCATGGCAAATGGGATGGATCTGTCTCTTACGAAGTTTCAAGGTAATGACTCCGTGACGCAATGCTATTGAGATATTCTACAGAATAGAGGTGGGGACCACTCTCAAATAAAGTACTTGAGTACGACAGTATGTTTACGTATATACACAGTTAACTATGTATATTTCTGAAAGCTCTGCAGATAAAACTCCAACTTGATCAAGATTTACTAGATCAATCGGCAAGTGTACAACCACGCATAGTCAAATATAGAAAATTCTAACTGCCACTCTAAGATAGAAGAAAAGATTCGAGTTTTGATACAACGGTGTTTACTCGATCTGCGCATTGTACGAGCGTTAGCATACCGTTTTCTACTCGTAAGCCTTGCACAATATGTGACATAATTTACCTTCTAAAGCGTATTCAAACTGAAAGAAAACC